CACCCATCATCCACCTCTCCACACTGCCTGCCACTCAACTTTGTTCTTCCAGGGAATTTTAGTTTCACCTCCATTTTGCTTTGCTATTTGCCTTTTCTGAGGCTCAGCTGTAATGCAAACAAAACCCACAGGAGGGCACCATAGCCATGCTAGTAACGTCCACCCAGTTAGGTGTCTATGGAAATTGTCCTCCAAAGCAGGGAGATGTCATGGGGCCATGGCAGGCCTGAGGAGTTCCCACTCAAGAGTGAGACAGGGAAAACACTAGCTCACACGTTCAGGGGGTTCCTCTAATCCCAGGTTCCTAGACCTGCACTGGCCAGAGATCCCCCAAGCTGTTTCCTGGAGCATCTACTTGCTGTGTGGCTTTAAGAAAGCCTCTACCTCTCTGGTCCTCTACTTCCTTCCATCCATTGCTCATATCCCTCCTTAACTGACCCACTGTTCTGTGTCTATTTCATGCTCGGTGTTTTGTTACACACACACACACACCACAACCAAAACAAATGAACAAACCAACCCTTTCTTCTCCAGACAAAAAGTCAACAACTTGAGGTGCTTTCCTCCCCGTTAGGACCTCCTGGTTGCAGATCAGTGGCACTCCGGTCCTGGCTCAACTAAAGAACATTTTCTGTTCCCAGGTCACTGTGCCAGGGTTTGCTCTTTCCAGACCAGCATTTCCTGTGTGTGCTTGGAGACCACCACTGTGCAGAGAGTGTAGTCCTAGGGAAGTTTGTTGTTGTTGTTGTTGTTTTGTTTTTTATGGGGGAAGGCAAGGCATACCCTTGAGCAGGAAAAGCTGGTGGGTTCTTCCCCTGGGAGGTGAGGGTCTTTGTCACCCTAGGGTCTTCTGTGCTACTCTGTGATGGAGGGGCTTCTTTGCTTCAAAGATTCCAGGCTACAGGATGATGTCATTGTAACTATGGTGTCAGGGCAAACAATAGGAGACCGTAAGTGGCTCAGCAGCACAGCACTTGCCTAGCATGCTCAGAGCCCTGGGTTCCATCCCAGCAACACACACACACACACACACACACACACACACACCTTGCCTTCCAGTGAAGCCTTAGGAGACCCTGGAGTATTGCTCTGATACCACACCAGCCTGTCCAAGGAACCTGATGGCCTAACACCTGATACCTCTACGACCCACCCTATCCTACCTGCTGCAAGCAGATCCAGTCACCCACTTGTCCCTGCCCCAGAACCCTGCTATGGCTTGTACTGTCATGAATAATTTCATGTTTGTTTCCCCCTCCCAGGCCGGAGGTGGGGTCTACTCACCTAAATACCCACAGGGAAGTACTGTGTCTGCTGAGCCAATTAACTTGTTTCTATTTAAAAATCTCAATAGGAATCCAGCTTCCTCACTCTGAGGGAGATGGTAAGTTCCTTCTCACCAGGAACACCTTTGAGGGATGGAGTAGCTCACCCCTGGCAGGCAGGTACAAGATTCCATGGTGGGTGGCATCTGAGAGAAACTAAACATGGAACATGGGCATAGGGTGTTCAGAACAGGGCACTTGTGCATTCAAAGTGACACATATCACCAGAGTCAGCTGGAAGGGTGTCTTCAGGGTCTCAAGCGTGCCTTTGAGATTTGAACGTATTGTCTTAAGTGCAAGGAGCAGATGTGACAATCCGTACTCAATCACCTCGGGGCCCCTTCAGGGGCATCCATGGGTCAATTCCAAAAGCCAGTGTGCTTGTCCCAGTGTTCCTGATGAGCTGTCCCCAAGGCCATTGAGAGTACTTGTCCTTCCTGGACCCTTGTTCAAGTGACACCAAACATCTAAGTGTCTGCACATTCCAAATCTTGGTTCCCTGAACACTGTTGTAGCTGCGAGTGAGGTGGGAGTCTCTTTTGACAGGAGGTCTTCCTACTTACACTCAGCTGTTGTTACAGCTCTGGCTACTTACATCAGCCAGAGTTGCCCACCTGAAGACTCAGGTCTTATGCAACTTCCCTACAAAGGGTTGTTCAAAGAGCCTCTCCAGAATGTGCTGGAGGACTAGCAGGTGGGTGGGCCCTTCTTGCCATGAAAGCCTTCTCTCTCTCTCTCTCTCTCTCTCTCTCTCTCTCTCTCTCTGGATGCCATCTTGTTCCGCTGAGCTGCCAAAAGGGCCCTTGGCTCCTCTGCTCAAGGACTAGCTCTTGAAGTGGCCGGGACATTGTGGCCAATGGTGGGTGAAGCCAGAGAAAAGAAAGACAGACAGCCCCGTGACTCTGAGCATTGAAGGGCCTGTTGGTGACTTGAGGTTGTGCTCTCAGACAAAAAGCTGAGAGTGAGAGATTGTGAAGCAGCAGCTTTTTCCTCCTCAAAGAATACCAGCTCATCCTCCTTCCCCCATTAATTGGCAGCAGATTAAAAAAACAAAAAAGCCATAGAAAAAAAACCCCAAACAAAACAAAATCAACGCCAGTACCCTGAATGTAAGGGCATCTGAAATGGAAAAGCCTTTTCAATTGTTAGATGTCCAAGAAAACATGAATACATGCTGAGAGGAAACAGGCTACAGTTAGAGGAAGAGGGAGGGGTTCATAAAATAGGGGAAAATTCCTTTTAGCATCTCCCATCCTGTAAGGCTGGCTCCTTTGTATGCCTCAGTTCCTAAGGACAGTGGGAGACTGGGCCTGGGGGAAACTTTAGGAAGATGAAGGCAGCACTAGGAGGGAGGTCAGAAGTCTGTTACAGGAGAGAAAGCAGAGGATACAGAACCCTTGCACTGTCAGGAGTAGTACCCACAAGGCATTTTCTCTGTTTTGGGACAGGCCTCCAAGAAGGGCCCTGTGGCTCAGTGCACTTCAGGAACCGCCCTGGAGGCCAGACTCCAAACTTGCCATTGTGAAGCAACTGCTGGGACCCCAGGCCTGTCTCCCCAGATCTCCCAACCTCCAGCAGGTCTCCTGGGGTGTCAGGCCCTGGAAGCTGAATGCTCCTTTTCCTCTTCAGCCTCCATGAGGGGGTATAGGTCACTTCAGGCACAACCCTCATCACTTCCCCTGAAGGACATTGAGAAAATGCAAATAAGGGAGAGGGTGACAGCTGTGAGGGCCAGACTCGCACTATACGGAACATAGCAACCATGAGGAGCTGGAGCCACTGAATGACAAAGGGACTAGGAAGATGACACCGGAGGTGGGTCATACATGGAAGAGATGCCAAGGAAATGGCTTGTCTTGGAGCTGCTGAAATCAATGGCAGCTACCCAAAGGTGGCTTTTAGTTCTGTTCTGCCCAAACCTGACAGGCAGCTTAGGCAGGTCTAGACCGGCCTCAGACCTCTGCATACTGGGCCTGAATCCATCCAGGATAGCTGTGGGCCTTGACCAGTTCTAAGTGAGTAGATTTACTGGAGATGACCTGATTGTCACTCACTGTGCTCTTCCCACATGCACTGGGGACAATGGTCATCAACCTTCTAGTCTATTCAGACAATCCAGGTGGCTAGGGCATGAGTTTTGAAGAGGCTCTGGAACCTCGATGGTCAGCCAAGAATAGCCAGGCCTTGCATGCTGCCCATGGACACAACAGAGCAGCTGTGGTAGCTCATCTTCACCAACAACTTGGCTGAACTTAGAATCTACTAGGAGACACACCTCTGGGCATGTGTGTGAGCATGCTTCCTGGCCATGAACTTGAAGAGCAAGGTGGTGTATATGGCAGGGTTTGAAGGGAAGAAAGAGAAAGGGACATGATACGATTATAATCTCAAGAAGTAAGATAATAATAAAAACAAGAACATGGCTCTGTTCCATGGGCTGAGGTCCCAGGAGAAATACAAGAGGCCAGATGAGCATGAACATCCACACTCTGCCACCTTGGACTGGACCCCTAACCTGTGATAATAAACTCTCCTTTCTTACATCTTATGTCCATCTTGTCACATCGAGAAAGGTCTGTATGTGTGTACGTGCACAAAGGTTCTTTTATCCATGTGGTGACCAAGAGGGTTCCATGTCCCTTGAAACATCAGGAATTCATTCTCCCCTAGAACAAGGTGACAATGAGGCCACTCAGAGCGGATGGCAGCACCAACTGTAGAGCCTGCTGGGCGTCTCAGGAGCTGTGTGTCCTTGGGAGGTTACCCCAGCCTGTCTTTCTCTCAAACACCTTTTAGGGCACAGTGTGACTGACTGGTAATGGGGAGGAAGCTCTTTGTAGAGTCCCTGAGGGGACAAACCTGAGGGGTTAACTCAGATTTGCCATCAACTTTGAGGACTCTGTCCATGGCTAGAGACTCAATACAGGGTCTGGCTGCACATTCTCACAGGTTGTGCCCATTCTCTGGCTGTGCTGTTCCTCTCGCGGAGGCACGGTTCCCATAGTGGTCACCCAGGTGCCTAGAAAGTTGCCAAGACCTGACTGGAGCGCTCCATTCTCCTCCACAGGGCCTGCCATGCCAGCAGGCTAAGTCCAGGAAACACATACTGCTTGGGAATTAAAACCAGTAGGCCGGCAATTCTCTCTGCAGAGACACTCTGGGACGTACTTTTAAAAAATAATTAAAAAAAAAAGGGCTAGTAATATATATTAAATGACTATTTTATTTACACACCCTATTCATAAATAATTGCATCCTTTCGACTGCACAATGGTTCCTTGACATCTACCGATTACAGAGTATACATCTAAAAGTAGATGGAGCTTACTCTGGTTTGTGACATGGTCTCTTGTTTGTTTACACTCAATATGCACACCCAGAGACTCAGACATGCACCAGAGGGGTGGCTCCCAGGGCCTCCTGGGCTCCCAGCACCAACGG